TTTTTTTTGTCTTGTTCAGTTTAGTGTGTAGCTCCCCCCAGTGGTGGATGTATATATGCTCCTTAAAATGTTGGCAGCTCAATGTCATTCATTCAGCTGAAGCGGTGGATGACACTTATGGTTTAAACTCTTTGTGCTTTTTTCCTCCAGTGAGAGCATTTCTTGAGCAAAAAAAATGAAGCTCCTTTTAAGTTTGTCCATTGTCATGGTGACACTTGGTGTCCTGCAATGTGCCCCTGATGACCAACTCAGAATCTTCTCAGAGGAAACTCTTAAACGTGAGTTAAACTTTAACTTCAGCATACATCAAGTAAAATAAAAAACAGGGGTAGATATTTTGTGGTAATATGACTTGCCTGTCTTCCACAGAGTTGTCCCAGGCAGGTGAGAAGGTGGTGGATGAGGAGATGAAGAGGGCTCTGGTTGGGGTGAAACAGATGAGAGAGGTGATGTGGAGGAATGAACAGAAACATGAACATCTCATGAAGTCTTTGCAGAGGAGCAGCGACAAGAAGAAGGTCAGCCTGCAGTCATAATATATGTCCACATGAAATACTATGCTCATACAGTACTCATTTAAGTAATAGAGTAGTCATTTGTTTAATCGTGCCACTGTAAATAACAACTTAAACTGGTTTCAGAAAGTGTAATGTTTGCAATGGTTAAGAACATTGCACTATATATACACAGTACATACACTATATATAAGAGCATGGATAATATTGCATGAAGTTGACAGTACATTTTCAGTTTGACAATTCTGACTGTCACCATAGTATACAAAGTGTGCATTTTTACAGGGAGCAGAGCAGCTGGCGCAGGAGGTGACGGTGAAGCTGACGGAGGCAGAGGAGCAGTGTAAAGACTCGCTCCAGTCTGAGTGGGACGAGTGCAGACCCTGTTTAGAAAATGCCTGCAAAGACTTCTACACCTCCACCTGCCGCAGGGGCTTTGCTACTTTCCACAACAAGGTAGGACCACTACAGTTACATTATATATTTCCACCACATTAATTCTGTAAAAGTTGTATAAGATTAAAATATACTGTTAAATGATTGGTGCTTCATTAATCAGTTACAGCTGTTGCTTGACAATACCTTGAAAAACATGCATTATTATTGTAAGCGGGGTCACCTCTCCACAGATCTGGCGTGGAGATAGAAGTTTAAGATCATCTCTGATTATTCCAATGCAATACAATGTCCATGGAGCCAAGCGATGAGAGCTCTACCAAAAGCTTAATATTAGACCAGTATAATAAGTATATGTATATGTATCATCTGCTGTGCTTGTATTTGTAGGTACAAAACTTCTTTCGCAGAGTGTCCAGGCGTTTTGGACCAGAGCAGACCAAACTGGAGCCAGGGGACATCCTGGTGAACCAGGACAGTCCAGAGACCAACGTGAGTCGCATCGAGGAGTCCTTCTCTCAGCTCATGTCCCAGGTGGGGGCAGTGGTGAACCGCAGCATGGCTCTAGTCTCCCAGATGAAGGGACGATGGGACCAGAGCCTCCTGAACAGCTTCCTGAATGATACACAAGACCAGAGGTGGGTAGAGTACACAAAATGTATACTCATGCAATAGAAGTGTTATCTTAATGTAAATAAATCAATATCTAAAATCCAATTAAATAATTGCTACATACAGATGGTGCTCCCCATATCAGAAAGCATACATAGTGCACTTTTAAACAAAATATTATTCATAATTATTATAATTATTCATATATTATAGCAGAAGTAAAAGTGGTGCCAGCTGTACAATATATTCAAAAAGTTACGTAAGTGATTAAATGTAACTGAGCACTACCTGCATCTCTTCCTGGGCAGTGTACTGGAGAGGGAGCAGCGAGACCCCTTCTACCCGGCCCGGGACTCTGGGTTCCTGCAGGGGGTGGGGCTGGACGAGGTGCTGGACTCCTTCTATGATTTTGGCCGCAGTGTGGTGCAGGAGTTTGGGGCAGTGGTCACTCAGGTGTTTGGAGATCTGAACGAGGCTGTGGAGGAGGCAAAGAAGACAGGTCAATGACAATCTATTAGCTAGAAGAAGAAAGTGTCATAATATATGTAACAGGTCATTTTGATTGTTAATATGAATGGTATCATGAGCCATTGTGTCTTTATATTGTAATGTAAATTGTATTTAATCTGTCTGGTGGTCAGTCAGTGCTTGTCAGTGCTTTGCCTAGAATGTTCCGCAGTATTTGTATTAAACTTGCATCTAACTTGCATTTATTCACTGATAGATGTTGTTATTGCTCAAAAATACAATGAAAAACTTGCATTCTGTGAGCGAGGCTGGTTTAAAACTTGACATACTCTCCAAGATTTTATGCCATACTGTAGCCAGCCAAAGCATAACATCTCCTTGGAGACTCAGCCCCAGAAAAGTTACATAGTGCTTCTTGAAAGAGTAAACAAACTATCATTTTCTGTGATACTGCAGTCTAGGATGATTTAAAATTAAATTAAAAATTAAATTAGAAAGTTGTAAACTAGTTTAAAGTTGGTGTTTATATTTCATTGTATTTCTGTTTGTTTTTCTACAGAGAGAGAAAGCATTCCTCGTTTCTTCCAAAACAGGAAGCTGTGCAGAGATCTCCGCAGACAGACTTCTGAGTGCTGGAGACTGCACAGTCAGTGTGAGGCCTGCCAGGGGGCGCTACTCACAGGTGAAGTTCTATTGTCCCTGTATCAGTAATAATACAACATTATTTGGGGCTATGGCTAAAATACACTTTACTTTTTCTTTTTGTCCAGTAGTAAATAATTGAATTATTGTTACTGAATAGTTATACTTGGAAATAACTACATATTATGATTCAAGTAAACTTTTGTTTTTGTTGCAGCTGCAAAACTAAAAATATAGATTGGCAGAGCTAAACTTTGCATGTATTATTCTTCACTTTATTAAATTATGCAGAAGTACATTTCCTCTCACTTGAGCTCTGAGTACAATGTTGTCCTCTCCACCCTCCTCATTGTGAACATTCTGTCCCTGTCTCCTCAGAGTGCCCCAGCGTGCGTGACCTTCATGTGGAGTTGGATGAGGTGTCCCAGCTGCTGGACGCCTCGAGAGTGCAGTACGAGGAGGTGCTGTCCATTGTCCGCACTCACGTGGACGAGACTCTGGACTGGCTCTCCAACATGGCCGCAGAGTTCAGCTGGGTCTCCTGGGTTAACCCCTCCACCAACAGGAGCGCACCGCAGAACATCTTCAGGGTTACTATGGTACAAATGCAATTACTACTATTGCTGCTACAGCTACTAATACTACTGATATTACTTAAAGTACTACTATTATTACAGGCATCTGTATATTTTCATTTGTACTACTTTTGCTACTATAAACACCCCAACAACAACAGGTATAATTTGTACTACAATGTGGCATTACTTTTCCTTCTGAGGTTATATAACTCGTATAACTTGATTGAGCATTTTTGATTCAGTTTTATTTTGTCCTTTTGTAATAAATCTTGCTTTCAGTATTAAACTAAACAATACAGACTATTAAATAATAATATGTCGATTTAATACATTCAAATGTATTCCTCCATCGTATGAAATCTGCTCCAAACCAGATTCTTTTACTGACAGAAGATGTAGACCTCTCAATCAAAAACCCCACATTGATCACTGATTAGAAATTAAAATTCTATGCACAGCCCTTATCAAAATTTAGGACTACTGATGCTTGTATGCAACTTGAATCCATGATCATATTCTAAAAAAGCATCATTGTTTTGTCACCTGTAGGTGGCACCAGAGAGCCATGATGAGAACCTGCCCGTGCGTGACACCAAAGTGCAGGTGAACATCTTGAACTCTCCCCCTCTGGAGCTGTCCATCCCAGGGGAACTGGAGCCACAAGACCCCTCCTTCATTCAGTATGTCGCCCAAGAAGCACTGGACAAGTACAAGGAAATGGTCAGGTAAGGGGCCCACTTTAGTCCAAAAATGTAAATGCACTGAAATTATTATGCGTGACTGGGCCTTTCATGATAGCACATTTTGAACTGTGAAATTCATAGCATATCAGTTCTTCAAGAATGTATTAAAAGCTCAAGCTGCAATAAATCGTATCAAATGAATCCCTTTAGTGTCTATAATTAGTCATAGAATCTACATATTTGCTTATATTGCATCGAATGATAAGTTAGTAATGATCGTTTTTCTTTTTCCACAGATTTGAAGATGTGTAAAAGTCCCAAATATACCTCTCCAAAAGCATTCAAGCACTTTAATGACAGATAGTGAATGTATTCTTTGCATCAAGTTCACCAGTGTGTCAAATGGTTATATAACACAATTTACCTTTGACATTTTAGTTTTAGCAATTTGTATCAAAAAGATATTGTATTTACTATTATTTATTATAGAAGTACTTATAGCATTTATGGACCTATCTCAAATAAAGTACTTAACATGCAATGACCACTGTTCTTTACGCCAGTCTCATGTAGTTTCAAATTTATTAAAGGTCCTACATTATGCAAAACTGACTCTTGTGAACTTTAAGAGATGTTAAGGTGTTGCTACCTCATCAAAAACATACCTGAAGTTGTGTTTAGTTTTGTTCACACGTTTGAGTATTGAATTCTTTATTATCAATCTGTCTACATCCCTAAAGCTCAAAATGCTCAGTTCCACTTTGTGATAGCGGTAGTTTAATTAAACAATTACATTTTACCATTTGTTCAGTAGAGATGAACAATGCCAGGGTTGAAATGTGCGTTTAAAAACTCTGGAGCACTTCCTGTACTACCACATCATAAGCAAGAACAGTGTAGTCTATCTCAGCCTAAATATGCAGGGTTTGTGTGTTAAACATGTGTGTGTGTGAATGAAACAAAACACAAGTAGGTATGTTTGCAATGTGGAAACAACAAAAAAACAACAACAACAAAAAAAAGAAAAAAAAAAATTAAATAATAATTGTTGGAGTTTGCATTTGTATTATTTAAAGGGTGTGTACAAAGCAATTTCAGATTGTAGATAGTCTTCTTTAAGTAAAACTTTTATTTTTTTCTGTACAAAAATCATATTATTAGTTACTACAATTATCAATATTTCCGCCTTAGACTAGTTCCATGTCCCCATTTTCTTTAACAACAGTCACACTTTGAGTTCTCACAATAAAATCAGAAAAAATACAATTTGTTCACATCTTTTTCCAATCTTTCAAATCACGTAGAACAAGTCAAGAGGTCTTAACATCACTTTCACTCATTCCCTGCTGGACTCTGCACGTTATAATTTCTGATGTAGATTTTGGATGTAAAAGGGCGCCCAGATCGGCCACTGGTTGCAGAGGTTTTTTTTGGTTCAGTTACTTCACTCACAAAGTCATCCATCATCTCAAAGGGGGTGAGACAAAGACAAATAGCACCTCGTTCCATAAAACATGAACCAGCTTAATGACGTTAATATTTCAGGGGATTTCTTTCTGTCACCTGTCCTAAAACAAAATATCTTTTTGTACCAAAAAAATTGTCAAAAAATATAGAAAAAGTTTACAGCTAATGAATTTTGACTCATTTGTACCATTTATTGCAAGGCTATTGTGTAGCTATGTGCAAGTTAGTCTTTATATTTGTGCATTAAACAATTTAAGAGAGAAAAAAAAATCTTACTTAAGTTTCACAGTTGTCACATGTCTATTTTAAAACAATGATAACACAAGATTTCTTTCTGCAGTGGTACATTGTCACCGTAGCTGTGAAGGATTTCAAGTTCTCGATACATCGTAAAACAAGTTGATTTGTTAAAATTACCCCGTAACTAAAGATTTCATTCATTCACCAACTTACACCCGCTGCTCAAATACATTTTTTTCCACATTTTGTACAACTGCTGCATCCGTATGCTTTTGTCCATTTATTTTACTCAATAATTTCCTAACAGTCACTTCACATACTTGTACCGTTGTGATTGGTCTCTTTAAAACTTTCCAACCAATTCATTCTTTATAAAAAAAAAAAAAAAAAAATCCCATGCTAAAACAATATAAAAACAAGTGGAGAAAATTTGTTGAAAATCTTTAAAAAACTGCATTTGCAAGTGGCTGCAAGTTTGATTTTTGAATGTAAAAATGCCTCACAGTGTTGTGGCCAGTCTGTAGGATAACTTTCTCCCAGAGCTCTTATGTTTTTTTTCTACCAGCACCAATCTGGACAGATGGACATCACCCAAACATGCTTGGTCCCTGGGTACATATGCGGGACAAGTCTGCATACAATTTTGTGATAATTTGTAGCTCTTTGTCCGTTTAAAATCCAAAAATCCCATTCTGGTATGGAAGCTCGTGTTCTTGCTATGGCCCTCTCCTCACTGGCCTCTTATAGGTTGTCCCCGGGCTGGTACTGGGGTTCAGTGGCAGTGAAGTAGTCTTCCAAAAAGGACTGGATGTACTCAAATGTGGGCCTCTCGTCTGGCTCTTTCTTCCAGCAGAGGCGCATCATTTCGTGCAGGGATTCAGGGCAGCCTTGTGGGCACGGCATGCGGTACCCTCTCTCCACTTGCTCCAGGACCTCCCGGTTCACCATGCCTACAGAACACACAAAGTTTAGCATTTTATTTTATGTTTATTTACAGTTTGTTTACAATCTGTACGTTCCACACAGTTAGGCAGAAATGGAGAGAGTGCAATGTAGTGTGAGAAACAAGACATTAATATGAACACAGTACTTAATTTAATCTCAATAATAACACAAACAAACAGTGACAAAAAATTATTGCTAGATCAGTAAAATTTTTTATCATCTTTTGAGTTATAAACCTTAAAAAACTACACATTATAATTCTAGTTGAATTATAATGTGTAACCCTAGTCATATACTGTGAATTAAGTTAGAAATAAATAGAAATAAATTAAGTGTCTTGCTCATTGACACAACAACAACAGCTTTGGGATTGGTGAGCAGACAAACTCTGTCTTTGCTGCTGAAATCAATTATGAAAAAATCAAGTTAATTAAAGCTATTTTTGTGCACAGATAGACATATTTTTAGCCTTGGAGAACACTTTACATTTTAATTGGAGACTATTTAAAACACTCCCTAAAAAGTTCATTTTTATCCTTAGGCAATAAAGAGAAATTGCAATTGAAACCAGACTAGAGGGAAGGGGATTTAAGGCTATGATGAAAAGCAAAGGGACAAAAACTTTTCAGCTGTGCATAGCATTGTAAAAATGACTCATTTCGTATTCAATGCAAAGTAGAGCTGGATGAAAAATATATTAATTTTTGTCAACAATCGTTTTTGAATCTTAATGACAATGTGCTAAACTGTACTTGTAACCAAAGGGCTGAAACTTTAGACCTTTGTCAGCTCTTTTTTTTTTTCCATATAAATGATCAGTGATGGGAAGAATATTTTGAAAATGTATGTATTTTCAGAATACTGAATACCCAAATTCAAATGTATTTTGTAACTGAATCAGTTATGTTATGGTCCAATCAGAGTTAGTGCTTGGTATCATTCAGAAGTTGCTGATACGATACATACCTCGATACATAGACCACGATAAGATCACTACACTACACTTTCGATTCGATATGATATATTTCAAATATATTTGATATGGTTCAGTAAAAAATAAAGGCTAAATCATAGCTGTGATACTAAAAGTCTTTGTTAAACCACTTCTTGTGCCAAGTTAATATGAAACTCACACATTTTAATAATCAAAACGGTGAAAATGTAAAATGTGTTGCATAAACAAGTTTCCTTCCTCTGAACAAGCAACAAAACGGTAGCACTGTAACAAAATTATTTAGTAAAATATACAAAAAATTACAGCAGCCCACGATATCAATACTGTATCATCACATTAAACGATACGATATATTGATATTTAGCTATTTTTGCACAGCCCTAATCAGAGTACTGTATTCTGAATTGTAATACTTTCACTCCGAGTCGCATTATAGTGAAAACATACAACATTGAATTACAAACAGCTTTATTTTTGTTGCACTGTTTGTTGTCATTCATTTAATTTATTAATTTAAGTCTAACAGAAGGAAATTTTGCACACTCAAGCTCAAGCTGTATTTAAAATTTTTTCAAAGCCAAAATAGCGTTATCCAAGTGCTGCATGTATTCCTTTGATTTTAAGGAAGTAACTGTATTCTGAAATATGGAAAAAATAACTGAGCCAGAATACAGTTATCCAGAAAGAGTATTCTGAATGCGTATTTTTGGTACATGTATTCAGTTACTTCCCAACACTGCATACTCAATATTCTAATTAACTGCAATATTATAATTAACTGCAATATTATAATTAACTGCAATATTATATACATTTTTTCCATATTTCTCCCCTGTTTACTGCGTACAATAGCCATTCCCATTCTGGACTATTTAATCTTTTTTAGGAGTGTCCCATTTATAGCTCTCCTTGTGCAATGAGGAGTTGTGCATGTCATCTCGAGACAGGAAGCCAGTTATGGTTAACCCTTTGACACGGTCTGTCTCTACCCCACAGGGAGCTGCCGCGTTGCTAAAAGAGGTTATGACACAGATTTGGCGGGTTGGTAGTTGCCCTGGTATGCGCCCTTTGGTCCTCTGCCAGTCTGTATGAGCAAAGGATGGTGAGTTCACTGACACTCAGGCAGAAAAAGGCACTGGGATGTTGGTGTTGGCATGCGTCGCAAGCTATGGTGTGATTTGAGACTCGCGAGTGTCAAACGGAGCCGTAATAGCAGCACTGTCATATGCATCTGCTGTGTATAGAAAGAAATCTATGTATAACTCCTCTAAAATAAACCAAATGACGCATTATTTCACTTGGGAGGCCTGCTTTTAGCACAGGCCCAAAATACAGATATAGGTAGAGTATACTAAATGCCAATCTCCAAGAATAAAATATGCCTAAATATGATTGGTCAATGTAATTTTGGGCGATGAGCATATGTCTGACAAACTTTGTTGTAACAGCTTGTATAGAAAAGTTGCAATACTCCAAAAAACGTAATATAGAATACAAACTAACCAACATAACATTCAAATTTTGTCCCGTTTATATGATTTTAGTATTGATTCAAATAAAATTTTAAAAGGTGCACTGTGTAATTTTCCTGGTGGAGGGTCTACCATCTGCTTGTCTTCATGGTGGTGAAATACTAAATCTTGTATTTATTTAATTACAGGTGCTTTTATTTCTCAAAAACTGTACTGTAAAATTGTGAATTATTCCAGTGAGTAGGTTCACTTCTCCACAAATCTGACCTGCAGCTTAGCCTGGTAATGTGGGTTGCTTGTCTCCATGGGGATAGTTAAATTAAATGCCGTATTGTAGAACATTTCAGGAAAAAACAACATGGAGTCAAGCAACCGGTGGACCCCCTACCAGAAAAGTTACAGTGCACCTTTAAATGGACATCTATTTTCAATACTAGTTATTAAGGGTGCAACGATATCAAAGTCTCTCAATACGATATCATCACGGTATGAACCTCACAGTATGATACTTATTGCGAAATCGTGGGAAAGCTCACAATATGGTGGGGAGGCTCATGATTAGGGATGTAACAATATCCAAATCTCTCAGTACGATATTTTCACGATATACATCTCACGGTACGATATTTATTGCGCTATTTTGTGGAAGCTAAGAAAACTGTTACTATATTACTTTTACCTCTTAAAATGCCTCGACAAGACCACCCAACCAAAGAACTAAGACATAAAAATGCTTAAAACTGTTATTTCTTCATGTAGTCTGCACTGAAATGGAGCCAAGGATCATGGTCTATGTAGTTCTCTCTGTTTTTAGCTATTGCTGCACCATAACTCTTAATTTAAGCAAAAAGACTTGTAATTCGATATATTGTGATGGTCCATGATATTATTGTGAGAACTTTGATGATATGATATCACGGTATTTTGGTTATTGTTACACCCCTACTAGTTATAGTAATGATTTGCATCTTGGTATCAGTTTATTACCAATAATGATTATGTATTGATATTTTTTATTTAATTTTATTTAACTTCTATTTTACCAAGAGAACCTCACAGAGATTAATAATCTCTTTCCCAAGAGTCCTACATATTGATCGATTGGGAGTCTATAGCACATTTCTAGACATTCTAAACACAAATGCATTCTTTTTTCATGCTTAAAATGTTAAAAAACAATTAACTTAATGACTCTTCGAATGATTGTTAGACCCTTTTGGGAGATACTTTTTCAGGACTGGCCATAAAAAGACAAACACAGCAGTACAAGAGCCTCAAATAAAGCATGAGTCAGAAGATTGTAGAAAAAATAGGGCCCACCCACACAATTTGGGGCACTGGGGTGAATTAATTATACCAAAAGGAGGAGCACTAAAACCAGGGGGGCACAACAGCCAGATGGCCCACTGCAAGACGCTCTGGTTTAGACTGCCATATGGTACGCTCTGTAGTCAGTGCCACCGTCAACATCAGATGTGCTGAGGTACCACATGTGACCAGAAGGGGGCAGCAGACGAACAGCAGTAAACCACTTCAGAAGGATGCATCAGTTCCCATGGGCAGGGAAATTACGCATCTGCTTTGACTCATATCAGCTATTTTAAACTGCACGTGTGAGAGGAAAATATACTTGGACCAGACTAAAAGTGCAAAGAGTTCGACTGAGGAATAGGAATTTGTTATTGTTAGATCCCAGCTGGTTTTTAGAAGGGACTAAAGTTTTTTCCTTATATGTTTACTGCCGTTAGTTGTACATTCTCAGACTATACCCACATATTACAAGCGCAATCAGTCATGAGAAACAATGAGAACAAAACAGCTCATACCAGGATTGCATGTAAAAAAAATCCACTTGCTATTTTTCTAACATGTATTGCGATTATATTTGTGATTTCTGTTTAAAAAGTAAAATTCTGTTCAGAGTGCTCAATTCAAAACATGTCCATGAGCATTAACATTTCAGAGAAGACTAAAAAATTCAGAATTTCAAAGCGTTTGTTCAGATTTTGTTATTTTCAGTGGACATCCTACTACGGAAATAATGCCATTCTTTTCACATCTCAAAATGACTCACTAGTTGATGATATCTTGCTTTGGTCAGTGTGTTTTATTGAGATTAAGGTTAAAGTTAACTCAGATTAAAGTGTGAGTATTTACCTGGGTATGGTACTCTGCCCTTGGTCACCAGCTCAGTCAGTAGTATCCCAAATGACCACACGTCTGATTTGATGGTGAAGCGTCCGTACAGAGCTGCTTCAGGGGCCGTCCACTTGATGGGAAATTTAGCTCCTGAAAAAAATACATAATTTTAAGTGATTGTTCATTGTCGCGTAATATTAGTGAAGTTATTTCACTATAAAAGAACCAAACACTGTTAAAGAAATGAAGCCCAAGTCAGTATTTGCATTTGTTCCAAACTTAGGTGAATGAAAGGAAGTAAGTAAGAGATAAACAAGTTAAGTATTTTTTTTTACCTGCTATTGTTCAATATAATATAAATTAACAGCTAGTAGAAGTAGCTACAGTATGCCAAACTGATATGCAAAACCATATACCCCAAAGACGCAACTTAATATGTAATTCAATTCATTATTCTGTGCAGCCCTCTGTGATTTTGTATTTTAATTTGTTGTTAAAATTACAATTCATGCAAATTGTTTGAATGTGGGATGAGGCCCCTCTCATCCAGATTCCATTTCCTGTAATTGCTTGTACCTGTGTGAGTCATTACTGATCAAGGACACCCCTTTTGAGAAAAAAATGATTTCTTATTTCAGAGTTAATCACCAAAAGTAATTTAAGAGCGGTCTCAGTCGCAAAAATAACCTCCCGACTAATGGCAAGGTGCAAAACACAACATTGGGTTAATTAGATGATTACATAAATGGGCTGTAAGGCAAGGCAAGGCAAGTTTATTTGTATAGCACAATTCGTACACAAAGTAATTCAAAGTGCTTTACAGAATAAGAAATACATTAAAATCATAAAATAATCATGAAGATTAAAATTAAAAAAGAGAGACATAAATTGGAGAGAAGAGTGCGGAATGAAAACCTTTCAGTTATATGCACAGTTAAACAGAAATGTTTTGAGTCTGGATTTAAACAGCGTCACAGAAGAGGCCTGTCTCACATGTTCAGGAAGACTGTTCCAGGTTTTAGCTGCATGAACCTGAAACGCTGACTCCCCTTGTTTAGTTCTGACTCTGGGCACCAGCAGGAGGCCGGTCCCTGAGGTCCTCAGAGTGCGAGATGTTCATATGACACTAACATGTCACAGATGTACTTTGGTGCTCGGCCATGGAGAGACTTGTACACAAGCAGAGCTGCTTTAAAGTCTATTCTCTGAGGCACAGGAAGCCAGTGCAGAGACCTGAGCACAGGACTTATGTGCTCGTACTTCCTAGTTCGAGTAAGGACCCGAGCTGCAGCATTCTGGATGTTCTGCAGCTGTCTCACAGCTTGTTTGGAGAGACCAGTGAGCAGACCATTACAGTATCTAATACTGGAGACAAACGCATGGATAAGTTCTCCAAGTCTGATTTAGACAGTAAACCTTTGATTTTTGCTATGTTTTTTAGATGGTAAAAGGCTGCAGATGTTATTGATTTTATGTGACTGTTAAAGTTCAAGTCTGAGTCCATTATTACCCCTAATTTCTTGCCTGATTTGAAGGTTTTAGAGCGAGAGACTGGAGGTGACTGCTGACACTGTCCCTTTGTTTCTGTGACCAAACACTATGACTTCAGTCTTGTCAGAGTTTAGCTGGAGAAAGTTGTTTTGCATCCACACACTGATTGTTGGATGCAGTGACCAAGTGACTCCACTGGTCCATAGTCTCCTGCTGCCAGAGAGACGTAGATCTGAGTGTCATTGCATAATTGTGGTACGACACGTTATTGCTGCTTATTAACTGGCCTAATGGCAGCATGTAGAGATTGAACAACAGGGGGCCAGGATTGATGAGGCACCCCACAGGTCAGGGCCATGTCATCTGAGACACAGTTTCCAATTTCAACAAAATACTTCCTGTCTTCTAGATAACTTGAACCAGTTTAGTACAGTACCAGAGTGCCCACCCAGTCCTCTAGTCTCTGTAAGAGGATCCCATGATCGACAGTGTCAAAAGCAGCACTCAGATCTAACAGGATCAAGACTGAGACTTTGCCTGCATCAGTGTTCAGGCGGATGTCATTTGTCACCTTGATAAGAGCAGTCTCAGTGCTGTGGTGGGCTCTAAAACCTGACTGGAAAACATCAAAGGAGTTGTTCATTTGGAGAAAGTTCGTAAGCTGTTGGTAAACAGCTTTTTCAAGGACTTTGCCAAAAAAACGGCAGATTTGAGATGGGTCGGAAATTGTTCAGTACTGTGGCATCAAGACTGCTCTTCTTTAAGAGCTTAATGACCGCAGTTTTCAACGCATTTGAATGTTCCAGATTGAAGTGACATGTTAACTATGTGAGTGAGTGGTGAAAGTAAACTGTTGAACGGACTTTAGAAATCTAGTGGGTAACATGTCCAGGCAGCAAGTAGATGAACTCAGACTGGTAACGATCTCTAAAACAGTTTTGTCAGTTACAGGTGCAAAGTGATTCAGCTCTAAAGTGTCTCTGTGCTGCATGCTTGTTATTTGTGTTGTGGAATTGATGGCATTTTTGATGCCCTGAACTTGTCATTAAAGAAAACTGCAAACTCATTACATTTAGATGTGGAAATTAGTTCTAGTGGCAGTACTGGAGGGTTTGTTAATCTGTTCACTGTTGCAAACAGGACACGAAGTTGGCAATTACCAATAATGTGAAAAATACTTAACCAAGTTAAGTCTTTATTCGAGTGAATGTAATACTGTACACGGAGAAAAGAATATTCATTGCGTAGCTTTTCTGGTGATGAACTTCTTTTTTCCATAGAGATGTCATTGCTTTGTGAAAAATGTTTCACAGTATGACACTGAATTTATCCATCTGCATCAGGGCAAGGTGAAGTTACAGAGCTGTGGAGAGATGCTCCGGACACCTGCTCACTTCATTGCTAAAGAGACATGTTTCTTATTATACTGTGGAGCATTCCAGGCAAAACTCTCAAAGCAGAAAGTGAAAGAAAGTGGCCAGAAAGGTTACACAGTGCACCTTTAATAGACAAATAAGCAAAGTAATAAAACAACTGCATTAGATATGGAAGTGAATGAAAGATTGCACAGCAAAAGTCAAACTCTTAAAATACTTCGTCATGGTACAAGCTTTGAGAACCACAGGGGCAGCCAATATATTACCTTCCTATTTATAGAAGTTTAATGTGGACAGCAGCACCTACGCACCTTGTCTGGCCGTGTACTCGTTGTCCTCGATGAGCCGAGCCAAACCGAAGTCTGCGATCTTACACACCAGGTTATCAGCCACCAGGATGTTGGCAGCTCTCAGGTCTCTGTGGATATAGTTCATCCTCTCAATGAACGCCATGCCGTCTGCAATCTGTCAGGGAGGAGGGAGAGGAGGGATGAGTTAACGAAACTACATTAACATGGTAATTAATCAACACAAGCCACACTTTTATACTGTATGATATTTTTCTGTATCATTACCAATAAAGATGTGAGCGGTAAACTTTTATTTAGAGATAATCAGGGACAAAAATAAAAATAAAATAAATTAAATAATAATAATAATAAAATGCTAAAATGCCAGTGCATGTCCTGCATTTAGTACAGAGACTGCACAAAAAAATAACACTTTATTCTTTTGTTTGAAAGATCACATACAGTGCAGGTTTCTGTGAAGTTAAATATAATGATGTTGATTGTGTTTTAATAAAATGAAGAGTCTAACCTGTCATAGGCGCTTTATGATAAAAAACAAAAACTCATTTTCCCAGTTTGCAATTTTACTTCCTGGTTGGACATTGTGGCGTCACACAAGGAACTGTTATGTAGAAAAACTTCTCTTGTGTACACAGGAATTATTATTTGACAAATACAAATATTCGAAAACACCTTTACTTTGTTGAAATTACAGTAGCAAAAACATGTGTTTAAGTAAACATTTGGATAACTTCTCCCTAGCATGATGTCAATATGTTAAAAAACTGTACTTCCTGTCATTTTCAACACATTTTTCAGCTCTTCTTAAGTTCCATCTTGATTTGTGTGAAACTGTAATTTATATTTGCAAGAGTTATAATCCCACTAAATTAAGTTAAAATTAAAGAATCATAAAAATCGGTCATATGCACTTTAAAGGTGCATTATGTAACTTTTGGTTGGGGGTCCGTCACTTGTTTCTATGTTCCACAATGCAGTATTGAACAGTTCTACCTTACGTTTATTCAGTTACAGGTGGTTTTATTGCTACGTGACTGTGGGCGGAGGTGCCTCTCCACTGATCTGACCTGTAACTTGGTCTGGTTTGGTCTCCATAAAGATAGAAAAGTTTAGTACCATAAAGTGAAACATTCCAGATGAAGCAATAACATCTCCATGGAGAAAAGCATTTCACGGACCATCCACCAGAAAAGTTGCACAATGCAGCACCTTAAGTATTGCCAAAAAGGGAACGGACAGTAAAATTAACCATTAAAAAGATATAAGTTTACATAATAACATTTTTTATAAATAGGAAGAGGAAGTGGAGTCGGCAGCACTCGGGATCTCCGATGTGAGAACAAAGCTGCTTATCTTTAGCACAGTCTTACACCTCCCTTAAACGTCTCCCTGAAAGGCGCGTGTCATTTTCACTCAGGTCTGAAGTCTAAACATGTCTCCACTCGACCGGGTAAGTCACGGGGATCCCAGAGGGAACGTGAAGAGGCAAATTAAGAAGCACAAAACTCCAACAAAGAGGGGCTGAGTCAACGAGTCTTTTAAAGTGGCCTCCGATGACAAACGGTTAAGTGCTACAGGCGGTAAGTGGTGGGCAAGAAAGATGGACAAAATCAAAGCTAGAGTTTACATGTTGGAGAATAAATAATATGACACTAGATGGAAACAAATCTCAAAAGGATGTCTTCCAAGGGGGCGAACCGTTTGACTGACTCCCGCCCACACAGGAAGTAGAGAAAGAGGCTGTATATTGCTCATGTTAGTTTGAAAAGAGGGCAGACAGGTGAAGGGCAGAGGGAGATGTTGTTTAGACTGGATATAAACTTTGGAGATTTGAACTTACCTGAGCAGCCATATCCACCAGCTGGGGCAGCTTCAGATATTTACCGTCACCCTCCTTCAGAAAGTCCAATAAACTGCCTGCAGAAAGTTGGAAAAGACAGGCGATGTTCAAAAAGTTTTGGTGTTTAAAGTAAAACATCCAAGGAATTTAAACTGTCTGAAATAGCTGAACATGGCACACAGTTAGATTTATGACTGTGTGCAATTAACCACATTTACATATTCAGTAATTTCTATGCTGCTATGATTTGATTGGGTCTTGTTAATTAAGAGATCTACAGCAAACTTTAGGAGAAGAAATTGTACTAAAGATTAGGGATGTAACAATAACCAAAATATTGTGATATCGTATCGTCAAAGTTCTCACAATAATACTGTGGACTTTTATAATATATCGAATTACAAGTCTCTTTGCTAAAAAAAAAGACAGAGAGAACTACAATAGACCATGATCCTTTGCTCCATTTCAGTGTAGACTATAATAGATAATAGAAATAACAGTTCTAAGCACTTTTAAGTCTTAGTTAAGTTTTGTCTTAAGGCATTTTAAGAAGAAAAAGTAGCATATTCACAGTTTTGTTTAGCCTCCACAAAATATTGCAATAAATATCGTACCGTGAGATGTATATTTTAAAAATATTGTACAGAGATATCTGGATATTGTTACATCGTGAGCTTCCCCACAATATCGCAATAAATATCGTCCAGTGAGGTTCATATCTATCATGAGACTTGGATATCGTTACACTCTTACTAGAGATATTTGCCCTTTTTAACATATCTGCCTTAAATCTCCAACAGACGCCCATTTTGTTTTGGCTGATCTGTTGTCTAAAGAGTTCACACAAAGCTTGTTTTAACACATTATTATGAACAGATAAGTGTATGAAACGTGACTACACAAGTCTCTTAAAAGTTTATGTAAAAAATAGGGCTGTGGGTGAGTTTGTTGCATATTATAATTACATAATCAGGTGAAAATCATCATAATCTGCCCTACATAAAAAACATTGTCAGATCTTATTGGCCATAGTCCATGAAAAAATGCATATCAGTCGATCTCTATATTGTACTGATTAAAAGTAATGATTGTTCATGTTCAGGAAATTAAATGTTCAAAGTCGGTTTATTTGGTTTTCATGAAGACAAAATCAAAATCAACCAACCCTAGTTACAACAAATAACTTGGCAATTTCAAAGCACAGTGTATAAAAGTATTTTGTTGAAGCAGCCTTCAGGTGAAACTGTCAATGTTATTTGGTTCTTATTGATTGGCTCAGGGCCAACTAGAGTCCTTGCAAACGTGAACAAGATAGTGAGAAGCTTTTATTGTTCTATGTGCTTTAGGCATAGTTACAGGGGTAAAATATAAATCTATCATTTTACTTTAGTTGTTGAGGTTTAGTCATTTCTTTTCTATATTTGTGTCCTGTTAAAAATGTTGATGTACGTTTTTTTCGTTGCAGTCTATAGAGCATCTCTCAAAAGTTGTGTAGATTTTACTTTAAACAATATATCTGAAACCAAAAGACCATTTATATCTTCTAAAAAGTTTACGAAATGTATACAATTTTTTTAAAAATAGATTGAATGAAACTTGCGCGTAATTCAATACACATGACTACTATGATTACAGTGGCACATTCTGCTCTTTGACAGACTGGCTGGACTGCTTAAAAGTTGTATCTTATTACTAATTAATTAAACATGAAAGACAAACTTCATATCAGATGCGGGTGATGATAATTCACAAGCTCGACAGGTTAGAGAAGTGGCAAGACAAAGAATCTCCAATGACTCATGAGACTTGAGATCTGATTATATTGCAACACAATGCAATACCACAGATTTTCAAATCCTTAAACTCCACAAACTCTTTCTGAATAACTAGCTTGACCTTGCTTTGTATTTTGCTGTCACAACTTGCCTACACAGTGCGTTTAAATAGGTGTTTCGACACTTACTACTTTCTATTACAAAAGATTATAATAAATTAATTAAAATCTACTTAACCGGGCTGAATTATTTGGGAAAAATATCCAACAACTGACAAGTACTGTGATTATATTTGGAGTAATAGGATTCTGTTCAAACACAACTCTAAATTACAGGGTTCTGAGTGTTTTTTCATAAGACATCATATTTTTATTGTTTGTGGGAAGAGAATTATGGCACTTCATACGCGTTTTCTTACCTTTGCCCATAAACTCTGTTACGATGTAAATAGGCTCTTCTGACACCACAGCGTAGAGAGGGACTAGTTTGTCATGGCGGAGCTTCTTCATGATCTGGGCCTCTTGTAGAAAAGCTTCTGGAGACATGGTTCCTGGTTTCAGAGTTTTGATGGCCACTTTAGTTGTACCGTTCCATGTGCCTAAAAAAAGAAGAAGAAGAAAAAAAGAAAACTGTTTAATCAACTTACAATCTCGTGGTACAAGTTTCATTTAGAGAAGCAAAAACTGGATTCTTGTTCTTATTTGTGCTCTGTCATTGTTTTGTAAAATGTATTTTAGACATTAAGCAGTCCTGGTTTAGATCTGATTTGGTCCTGGTTGTGTTAAGTCAAGCTTTCGTAAAAACAGAATCTGGTTTCATTCGGGTCAAATCTTGATTTAGCTCTAAATAAGTAATTACTATACTCGCATCACTGTCTGGACCTGGTTTAAAAAGGGACACCATCTAATTTTCTGGTGGAATGTACGTTACCCGTTTGTCTCCATTTAGATGTGATTGCTTTGCTTAGAATATTCCACAGCATGGCATTAAACTAATCTATAGAGGTGGGACGAGACACAATTCCCACAAGACAAGACGAGGCATAAGACTGGATCCACGAGAATGAGACAAGATGAGATTTTAAAAAGATTTGCAATGAATAATTAGACAAATCCTAGTATTTCTATTTATTTTATGTAATACTCGTCGGTTTAGCACTGTGTTTTGAAACTACAGCTCTCAAGGACATGTAACTCACGAGCACTTAACTTTTCTTTGTCCAAGCCAAATGGAACAAATGGAAAGAAAATCTCACAAAATAATTTTTCTCGTGTGCACAATCTTGTAGCAATTTTGTCTCGTGAGATGTTGTGGAACGAGATCTTGTCCCATCCTTACTAATCGATGTTGCATTTATTTTATGACAGCTATTTTTATTGCTCATACCTCCACAGATCTGACCTGGAACTTAATCACACAGCATCACCAACGAGTGTGCATGGCGACGGAAATGTCTAATGCCATACTCCGTCTGCATGGACATGTTGTAGCTTTGCCTGGAGTGTTCCAACCTTGTGGCAAACTCTCCTCTACAAAAGTTACTCTGTGTTTCTTTACGTAACTACAATCAAAACATTTATTAGTGGTGAATAGTTTGCTGCCCGCTTTGAAACACCGCTGCCCTTTTCTTATCGGATTAACCAGGCAATTTGTTTCATATTGACAAAATGACACAAACATTTAGCGGTGCAATTAAAAACATTTCGACTTTCGTTTACAGGATGTGAAGAAAGAAAAAAACAGCAGAACACTTGACAGTTCAGATAATCAGTGGTTTCCTGGTTCAAAGCCTCTTACTCACGACCTGCTTACATACTAAATGCTGAGGCAGGAGATCCAGCACCACTGTCAAAGAGATGACTGTGTGCTGAACAAACTGCCTTAGACAAACAGGAAGAAGCGCTGTACAGTTAGTATAGTCTAGTGCAACCACAGAGGTTAGATAAGAGGTACCAGAGCTGCATAATACAAGGGAAATGTATATTTAACCAATGATAGACGTGTGAAAATAGTGCGGCATAAAGCCTTTTTTTTTCATAATATCAAAACAAATATAACAGGACAGGCTAAAATCACTTGTGGTAATGTCATAAGTATTTAAAAATCAAACAGCTGTATCACCTGGACAACTGAGGGATTACACAATGAGAAAGCACTATTATTTAATGTCGAAAATCACATTCTATTGTCGAAATAATGAGTGTTTTAAATTATCATTGTATTATCAGAAATGGTATTGGAGTATTGAGTCTATTCTTTAATACTGACGTAGAATTTGCAATTGACCAATATAAGATTCAGGTTTAATGTAATCTCTTAAAATTGCAAATATTCAAATACCGAACTCAAGTTAATATTACGTAAACTTAGGCACTAACCATCTTTCATTGAAAAGTAACAAAACTAGATTTATAATGTACTTTTAATTTATTTACAATATAGTTTAATAAAAATTTAACTGATAGGCCAAAATTACAAGCCAGGCTGGTGCCAAATAGTGCCTTCGTTCAATTAAATTTCTCTCCAGCGACCAGGTCAGGAATCGGAATACACGAAACTGTTTGGAAAAACCCTTAAGTGCGAGTTTGGGGACCAGCCAATCAGCGAAGAGCCATACATTCTGTGTTGGCAACGATTCCAGAGGGATTCCAGGATTTAAAGCTGGAACAAAGAGAATATTTGGTGAATTTTATCAAGGGGAAAGACATTTTTGCCCTTCTTCCTACGGGATTTGGGAAAAGCTTAATATACCAGTTAACCCCATTAGCAGCACATTACATACGTCATGACCAAATAGCAGTGACTGGTTAAATAAAAAGTACCCGCCTACCGTCGAGCGAACAAATTCTAATGCAGCAAGATCACACAGTGTCCATCAAGTGAAACCGGCTGATGAATCAGGCTACAAAATTACTGTTATATTGTTACCCAAACATACAATCTCCAGCCACAAGGGGTTAGTAATATTTAGTAACTTTTTTTTTTTTGCACTGACTAAACTTTGGAGGTGTATGTACAGAATCTGTAACCTTCAACTACACAATCCCTGGTTTGAATTCCAATTTGGAAAATTTAAAGTACACATTATTCATTGCATGCATGACATTTCGAGACAGGATCAAGGTTTAAACTTTGCTGTACTGTGCTGTGCTGTGCTGTGCTGTGCTCCCATTATGACGCACTCTTCACAAATGCAGCAAGCAATTTTTGACATTTAACATCTGTTTTTTTTTCCAAACTATGCAACTTTAGATACCAGGAGATCAAAAGCATTACAACTTGCTGACGTGAAAAGAGTGGGATGTCGTTAGTAAAAAAAAAAAAAAACTGGAAAGAAAAACTATGATGAACAAACAGTTTTGGGGAGAGGCAAAGAGGATTCCTGGGATTGCATGGTATACCCTGGCAGGTCTGGGCTTGCTGCAAGCTTAATGAAAGAGCCTGTGATGAAAGAGGAACTGTTTGAACCCCCCCTCCTCTCTCTCTCTCTCTCTTCTCTCAGCTCTCCCTCTCTTTTTTGTATCATGGTCTCCCCTCTCCCTCTCTATTTTTGTCCTTCTCTCTCCTTTCCCTTCGTCACTGCTTTCGATCTCCCTTTTCCCCCTATATCTCCCTCTTTCTCGCCCCCTCAGTCTCTTCTATCTCTCTCTTATATATACTGTATCTTTCTTCTTTCTTGCTCACTCCCACTCTTCTCCGTACATCAACTCCTTCATCTTTTCTCTCCCCTTCTGTTCTAACACGATCTCCTCCACTCTTTGGGTTCAGGTGAGGTTTTCGTTTATTTTGTGTCCTCATGCAGATATTTGACTCGAAGCTGGGCTCAGTAGGATTAACATGGCATGACATGACAAAAATACAGAAGAAAAACATATTAAACTGGACAATATACAATCACTCACAGCTCTACACAGACAGTCCATCCACATTAATAGGACAACTGTCTCACCAGTGACTGTTCAAAGATGGGCTGTGGGGTAGTCAGAGAGGACAACCCCATCATGTTACCAGCCAGTTTCACCAGTCTAAGTGAAATTACAGCTTTCCTCCATCTCCGTCCCCTGTCTCCTCTCCCTCTGCTCCAACTATTCTTTGCCCCTCTCCACTGTCTGTTTCCGCCATCTCCATTTTTAAACCTCTCTTCTTTCTTTCATCTCCTCCTCTCACTTGCTCTCTTCTTTCTAATCCCTTCTCTCTCTCTCCCCCTCTCACACGCGTAGGGGGCCAGAGAAATGAGCCGTGGGTGGTGACCTGTCATTACAGCGCTCGGGTTTGTGTGCAGAGTTCAGCGTTTCCGTCGTCAGTGCGTGGTATGTGGGCCAACGTGATTTAAACATGGAGATTTAGTGAGGTCAGCTCCACTCAGCTGTGTGGTAATGCCACTGAATCAGCCTGTATATAAACTATACACAGTTGATGACTCCATTGAAAAGAAACTGACATGAATTTTTAATAATGGCTACTGTTGACAATAACAATGTAAGTGCAAGCTTCTGTTTTTGATTGTTTCATGTTATAACTCGTTACTTAACGTATAAAATGGTCTGTGCAGTATTCATTTATAAATACTTCTGAAAGGCTTCTTGGATTAAAGGCAATGGCATACAAAGCACTTACAATGCACTGTAATATTCCCAGTTAAACAAATAGTAACTTTAAAAATGACATGTTTGGCTTCTAAAATGAGGAGACAAAAGGATGATTTTGACTGTGGTACCTGGCAACCCTTAGTGCCACCATTTAATTTGATCAGGTTTACTTCACCGTGGATGCAATTAGCCGGTGTCAATGAAATGCTTTTTAAAAATAAATATACTTTACATATCTTACATAGCTTTATAGCGTACACTAACACTGGAGATGTGAGTGGAATTTAACTAGTGGAATTTTCAGGACTACTCTTTAATTAACTGAATTTCTCATTTATAATATTTTGAAGTAACAGTAATGCAAATGCAAAAACCTTAATCCACTGTGCTTACTGTATGAGGCCAAGTGTGTGTGTGTGTGTGTGTGTGTGTGTGTGTGTGCCACCCTCCCTTTGGAAACAATTTCAGTTTCCAATGTGGTCTATATGTGGTTTCATTAATAGATTTGAAATAACCATAAAAGAAATGGAAAACCAGATTCACTGATGATAAAAGCATTTATAGAGCTTAGTTGGTTTGAAGTTCGTTAAATAAGTACTTTCGAAGAAAATATGGATGAGACATTTGTAATCTAGAGGGTCGGAAAGTAACTACGCAATTACAGTAATGTGTGTATTTGAGTATTTAATTCAGTGTCCTAATCAAGCTTTGTGTAACACTGACTTGTAACTAGTACTTTGAGTAGTGGTAGCATTTGTGTGCACTTTATACTCATCTTGTACTTTTACTTGAAATCCAAATGATTAGTAGTCATAAGTAATCATCTCATTCTTACCCATCCAGACTTCCCCGAAACAGCCCTGTCCCAGTTTGAGCTCCAGGCGCAGAGACTCTCGGGGGATCTCCCAGGCGTCTTTGGCCAAACCCTGAGTCTGAGGCTTTATTGTGGGGCACACGGTGGTCAGGCGGTAGCACAGGCCATCTGCATGTTCTGCACACAGAGAGAGAGGGAGGAAAAGACTGTAAGATGGAAGGGAAGGGCACCAGATTGGGATAACAGACCTTTGCACACATTATAACTGAGTAGAGACTTGAATTAAATATCACTCTATTGTGTGCCATCTACAAATCAAACTAGTGTCACAATAAACCATTCTGATACCAAGTAAGCTTGATACTACAAGGATAATTAAATAATCTTGAGTATCACAATCAATATCTAGTCATCTAGTAATACTGTGTGCGTTTATACTAGTTATAATTAGGGATGCACTGATCTGATACTGGTATTGGATATCAGTGCCAATAGTCAAAACTTTGCTGGATCAGATATCGGTTTCCAAATATCGGTTCAGCCAATATCCTGGTTGGACGAATAAATAGTTACTCTTCACAGTTGACTCAGAAAGTCTCAATGTTTACACAAAGCTATACTGTAGTTACAAGTGAGATAAATAATAGCTTGGAGCAGTTCTGTCTTACTTTATTTTTGTTTTAAGAAAATACTGTTCACAGTCCCAACACTTGTATCGGTTGATACAAGGATCAGGTATGCGCAGATACTAGAACCTATACTATCAGAATCGGTATCAGAAATTCTGCTTATCCAAGACCGAGTCATGAGGGCAGCAGTCTAAGCAGGGACTCAGTGCATCCTTAAGGCCCTGTCTCTGTTGATGATTTAGCAAGCGTAAGCCGACGTACCAGAATTTCCCTAAAACACTGGCATACGCTGAACTAGCAATGTTTTTTTGGGGGGCGTATACATAGCGTATTCATAATGGTTGGACATATACATAACATATTAGTAACTTATATAGAACATTTTGATAAGCATTAGTTGGTATAAGTTAACGTGTTGCCAGCATCCACAACTTATGCCCAACAACACATATATATATTCTGATATAAATTAAGACCATTCTAAAACTATTCAGGAGATTGTTCCAGTTTTGTCCAATTTGTGCTCTGCGATTTTTCAGTAAAGATATTAGTAAAGATAGTTTTGAAGTTATTCAGATGAGTATATAGTTTTAATTCTGGTTTTAGTGATGAGTCAGACAAAAACAAAAAATCTTGTTTACAGAGGAAGGATTTGAATGGGGTGAGAAATACCGTGTTTAGTTCTCAGTGTAGAATCAATGAAAAGTTTTGTCTCAGGAAAAACAAGGCAGCTGATGATTTGTGATCCCGGAAGGAAAGAAGTGAAAAGTAGTTGCCCTGAATAGCAATCCATAACTCAAACTTTCAACATGGAGAGTAAATGCTAACAAGCCTATTTCTGTGCACTGCATATATTTTATGGATATTATCAAGGTCACATTTCAGTTTACCTTGACTAATGAGTAACTGCAATAAAAATGTATAAACAACCTCTTCAAGGACAAAGAGCTAAGAAAACAGAACTAAAACAACGAATCATACGCCTCATTTCCATAGTGATTTAAATGTTTCAGACTGCCATTAAACCACAGAATAAAATGTTGCGTTTAGTTGGCTCAGACATATCCATTGTTCCATCAAGTTTTGCTGAAGCATAAAACTGTTTCCAGATACAGGCAATAAGGAGAAATTATCTCGTTTAGTGATTATCCTAATCTTTGTGAAGGAAAGTTAAAAAAAAATAAAACAATTGCGCATGCTCCAGCCAATGTTTCTATAGTTAAAGTTTAAATAAAGCTTTTCAAATTTGCATAAGACTAGGCCTGTGATGACAACAAATTTTGAAGTGTTGCTGAATTTAATTTCTGAAGAAAATATAAACTGTAAAACTGCAATACTCCAAGAACAGATTTAAACCACAAAACCTCTTCTAAATCTATAATATTGTTAAATAAATCATGGGCTGCAATAAACAAACAGCAGAATGAAACACTTTAGTACTTGGTGTGCATTTGTAATGAGTAATAGAAGTTACTAATTCAAACTTTTACAGCTTAAATCTTATCGTATAACCAAAAAATAACCCAAAATGTCTCAGTAGTACAAAGAAAAAGTACACGTGATAAATACTGACCCTAAAAAATACTGTTCCACGTTTCACATATTGAATGGTAAGTTGATATAGTGGTTATCGTGACAGTTTTACATAACACTTTTAATATTATACTGAAGACAAGACATCTCCAAGCCTTAATAGTGAATGTAGTTGTGCTGTAAACACTGAAACTAGTTTACCACATATCTTAAACTCCAGCTCAGTGTCCCAGTGGAGTTATTACAGAACAAACTTTGGCTCTGGGTCACATGGTTTGTATTTGGGGATTTCTGTCATGTCCACTGATCCCTGACTGTGCACCGCTTGAGTCTCCATCACAAAATCCGCTGTTAAACATATTCAATGCATTCCCAGCCACAGGACTACAGCTGAATAATGCATTTCCTTTGGAGGAGAGAGCATGCTGGCTGAAATACCAAGTAAGAGGCTGGCGTCCGCTGCTGTTGATATACAAGCATGTAGGAACGCAAAAGAACACTTAAATATAAAAAATTGCACTTGCGGTGTTTAACTGGACTTAGATTTTAAATTGAAAAAGGTGCACTATACAAGTTTTTGTTTGGGAGTTTTTTATCTGTTTCTAAGGAGATGTCATTGCTCTGCCTGGAATGTTCCACAGTATGACATTAAAAAGCTCTTCCTTAGACCTTCACTCAAAAATATCTCAAAAACTAAAAAGGCCTTCTGACTGGGAGTTGCATTGCCTCTCCACAGATCTGACATGTAACTTGATCTGGTTTGGTTTCCATGATGATAGAAAAGTTTAATACCATTTTAGTTAAACATTAAACATTCAGGCAACCTAGTGTCTCTGCTCAATTTCATTTCTCTTCAGCGACCAGGTCAGGAATCGGAATACACTAGACAGTTCGCAAAAACCCCGGAAGTGCGAGTTCAGGCACCAGCCAATCAGCGAAGAGCCAGATATTCTGTATTGGCAACGATTCCCGAGATCGAGGATTTAAAGCCAGAACAAAGAGAATGTTTGATGAATTTTATCAAAGAGAAAGACGTTATTGCCCTTCTTCCTATGGGATTTGGGAAAAATTTAATATACCAGTTAGCCCTGTTAGTGGAGCATTACATACGTCACAACCAAATAGCAGCGATTGGTTAAATGAAAAAAGTACCCGCCTAGCATCGAGTGAACGAATCCTAATGCTAGGTCAGCGAGGTCAGACAGTTTCTATGAAGTGAAACCGGCTGATGAAACATTCCAGATAAAAGAAGAAACGTCTCCATGGAGAAAAGCAGTTACACAATATACCTTTAAAACATATTTTTTTCTATATTAAATTTGAATAGTTGTCCAATGTTTTCCTTGTTTTAATCCTCTTTCAATCTTTTGGTTTTGAAAAGTATCTACCTTGCATTCATTCAGTTACACGTGTTTTTACGTGCTTATCGCCATGGACACAGATAAGATAAATGCTATATTGTGGAACAGTTTAGATAATGAAATGGGATCTTCATAGAGAAAATGTGATGTCTCAAAAAACAAACAAAACAAAAACAAAAACATTAGTCTTGTGATACTCCAAACCAGTAAACTAATGCTGTGAGTTTAGAACATGCTTGTAGAGGCTTAAACTACAGGGTAAGCAGGTTTTAAACAAACACAACCTTTGCATTTTGGTCAGCATGTCTATTCAATTTTGATTTCATTGTTTTAAATCTTGTGTACCTACATGGTACATCCCAGCGAGCACTTCTTCATGAATGTTCAAAAGGCCACTGTCCAACCCAGACACCATCTTTGGACTGTAAACATCAATTTTCTCCAACCACTGCCTCTAGCTAAGCTGCACCTGGGGCGGCCATGTTGAATACCTGTGTAGTGTTTCACCAGCTTCTGTAGCGTCTCAAATTGGGCCCGAGTGGTGATGTAATAACCTCCGCTGTCCAGTTTTCGGATCTTGTAGTGTTTGACATTGTCTCCTTTTATCTCGTCCCAGTCGCGAATAGACAATGAATAGGCACCTGGGAGAGAAAGAATTGTTAGTATTAATAGGGTTTCAGTTTCCTAGTATATGCAAAGGACATTTTCACTATCAAAACATATTTTGTTTTCATTTATAAATCACTATAGCAAATGCTCATTTTTTTTAACATTCTGAAACCCATAGATATAGTAACTAAAAAAAAAGGTTTACATTTGTTTTGAACATTTTGACATTATACTATAAACATTTAAGAATAAATTATTTTTATTAACATCATTGATCTGTAACTACTTGTTAAACCATAATTAAGTAACATTAGCCTGTACCTTTAAGCTGTAAATGAAGTTCCACAACAAGCTGCAGTTTGTCATTGGTTATAATGGTTAAATATTTATAAACCACCACCATGTGAATATCATTTATATTATTAACAAACAGGAAGAGAATTATTATTTATATGTGTACAAATCACATTATTACAGCATGGATTTCTTTTGATTATACATTTTGTTTGATTGCACACATATACTTCTTAAATTTGTGAATTGAATTACTTTTATCTTACATAATTACGTGTGTTATATCATAATGTACATCATTTGTTACCTTTGGTTGTTTCACTCTCTCGTGCCAAGAAAGTGCCCCGTTGGTTTCCTGGAAGTAGCAAAAGCCGCTCTGCGTCTTTTCTGCCCATTTTACCGAAGTACCATCTGCCAAGACACACGATTCACAAGAGAGGAGAGATCAAAGGAGGCTTAGGGCAAGTAGCTTTTTTTTAATACAATACAAGCTAGAGAAGAGACAGTTAGGCCAGCGTCAGAGTTGATATGCATCAGATGTAGTACCAGGATATACAACTTTACAGCCAGTAAAGTGGGTCAATGTACTGAATTGAAACTGCACTATGCAACTTTACAGGTGAGATGTTTTTGTTTGCCTGCAATGTATGACAGTATGGCATTAAACTTATCTATTTTGTATTTATTCAATTACTAGTATTTGTATCGCTCAAAAATACCTTAAAAAACATGGATTCTTGTTGTTTCTATGGAGATTGGCAAGTTTAATGCTATACTGAGGATCATTCCAGGCCCGAACAAAAACAAGAAGCTCAAATGCCTGAATGCAAGCCAGTAAACAACCATTAAGCCCATTAAAAACACTACTTCAGGCGATTGGGCACTTGGTTTGCCCCTCTCATTAAAAAGGTCTCAGTAACTTCTAATAGACTGTTTCTGCAAATAGGACACGACCAGTGGATGAGATCATAGTTCCTCTTTGTACTTCTCTGCAAGTTCATACATGCCAAAAATAAAAAGGTAGGCAAAAACTCCTACAAGTAAAATAGTATCAAAATAGCTGTCATGTGTGTAATATATATTTTTAAATATTGGAAAGGTCAGCTATCAAAAAAAACAAAAAAACAAAAAAAACAACATCAATGCTACAAGGTGATATTTTAGTCTAAAGTCTGTTAACATTTGTGCAATACTTTGTCTTTACACAAAACTGAAACTGATCTTGATTTCACAGTCATCTCCCCGGTTTGGTTTTACAGTAAGTGTTCATTTATGTATCAAATGACCTGGATTTAATGACGACAAAAGCCAAAGTGAAAGCAGCTCGGAGTCCCTTGAGATCAGAGTCTGTCACACTGGTTGGACAGAAACACTAACGGCTGTCAGTAACAATGTAAAGCTTCATTGTGTTCAATGTTTACCCAACACACAGAGCCGAGAGACCTGGGCTTAATCACATGAGACAGAACCATGCTGTCAACATGAATGGTGAAGTGAATTATACAGTGCTGTGGATAAAACAAGACTGTAAATGTCTTGTTAATTATTTAAGTGTGTGGAGTATTTATTTGTTTTATTTTGCAGAATTTTGTAATACTAATAGTACTAGTTTATAATTTTAATCTTATAGTTTGTAATAGTTTTTCCTGTAGATGAGATAAGCTTGTTTGACCTTTTTGGATTGAAGATGGACTCAAAATGAACTACAAAACCTACTGCCTGATTTTAAAAGACACTTTCTTCAAGCAGTGGTACAGGAAAAAGTCTGCATCTTTCAAGAGGACCATGAGTTTTATGCAGGACAATGCTCCATTGCATGCATCGACGCACTCCACTGTGCCTCTAGCTAGTAAAGGTAGTTGTTCAATTATAAAATGAATCTTCAAATACAACTTGCCAAATAATTATGCACATAGTGTATGCGGTATTCATGATCAACTAGAATCATGAAAACACAATAGTTGGTACTGTAAATTTGGTAATGAAAACATTTTTTTTTTTTAAATCACAAGTTTTTGGTACCAATAAAAAAAAAAGAGACCGAGTTTGTTTTTTGTTAGTGGTGTTGTATGCGATTGCATAGTGGTCCTTACTCTTCTGCCTGTATGGAGTCTGCTGGGGCCACATAGTTACTGGGGATATAACCTTTCTGTCCCGTGTTGATGGATCGAGCCTCCCACCAATCGCCTTCCCTGGAAACAACAAAAATAAGGAAGTGAAAACATGACTAACACAACTGAAAGTCAGACAGTCAAAAGTGCTGTTCCTGCCAAAACTATTTTGGAAAATTAGTCATAATTGAGTTTTTGTACCTCAGACAATTGAATGTCCTTACCATTTTCAAAGAAGACAATTAAATAAACAGATAATATGATTTTCAAATGACCATTCAGGGTTTTAACTAAACAGAGCAGACATATAATGCAAAAAAAAAAAACATAGATGGCACACTAGATGATATACTTGTTAAAAGCTGTAATTAAAAGGTGCACTTGCACTATATAAAGTTTCAGGTTGGGGGGGTCTCCCATCTGCTCATCTCCATGGAGATGTTACTGCATAGTCTGGGATGTTCCACAGCAAAGAATTAAACATATTTATGTTGCATTTGTTCAATTACATGCTTTTAGCTACTCAAAAATTCTTTCTGTGACCAGACTTGCCTGTCCATAGACCTGACCTGTAGGTTGGCCCGGTTGTGTCAACTGTCTGTCTCCAATGCAAACATGTGAAACATTCTTTAAGGCTGTGGGGGACCCTCCAACAGAAGAGATACATAGTGCACCTTTTAAGTATTAATGCAAAGTACTAGAAAGCACTGTTAGCAGCCACAAAACTTCAAAGTACTTCCTTCCTCCAAGTTACAAACAAATACCATTTACTCTGTACTGAAGAAAATTCAAACATTTTTGATTTTATTGAGTACTGCAGTTTTGTAAAGCATGAGTACAGTTTAAATGATGAGAAGCGCTGTCCTCCTGCCACCTTCCCTTCCTCAAAAGCAGATGGCAGATTTATTACCGGATTGTGCCATAAAAACTACTCATCCAACACAAGCCAACTGTGCCTCTCACCTGGGCCCACAGCATATGCTCTTACTTCAGACTGTAGACTTAAACAGAACTGAAAACACTGGGTCTGATCAACTTTGTGTAATTAGCATTGTTTGTGTTTGGTTATAAGCTGTGCAAAGTGTAGAGACAACAGACCCCACATATGCTCAGAGAAAAGATTGGCTTTACCGAATTTAATTGGATATAACAAGCCAAAACAGGTTTAGCAGTCTAAGTACTTTGTTCAGTCACTCTGCCGTGATAAGATACACATTTTTTCTTTGTTTGCCATTTAGACATTATTTGAAAGACAGTATAGCGTAAAATGGGGGTGAAGAGCAGGATGAGCAGGATGAGCATTCAGCAAACCCAGGAATTAGTATCAAAGTTGAGGTCTACCTAACAAAGACTAGGCACCATACGCGCTACAGTTAGACCACTCAACTACCAGGCAGTACTAGTTCTATTGCTACCACTGCCCTGGGGTAGATTGCCAGTCTGCTCCATCCAGATTGAATATTAGACCTGAATATTACGGGATTAAACACTGACCCATCAGGAGAGGGTGTACCCAAATCAAATGTACTCACGTGTTGTTGATAATCTGGAAGCGGTCGCCCTTTTTGAATGACAAATCATCCGATGTCCTCGCCTCATAATCATACAGGGCAACGAAAAATGTCACACCACCTAGAAATAGAAATACTGCTTTAAATCAACTATGCTTGTGTGTGAAGCTGTTGACAAGTATCAATAGTCAATAGTAAAAGCAATGGAGTTTAAAAGCTACATTGTGTAATTTTTCTTATGAAGGGTCTGTCATATTTTTTACTCCATGGAGATATTATTGCTTGGTCTGAAATGTTTCACAGTATGATATCCTCATAGAGACCAGGCCAAGTTAAAGGCCAGATGTGTGGAGAGGCACTGTTTTTATTTTTGAGTTATAAAACCACCTGTAACTGAATACATGTAAGGTAGAGGTGTTTAATGTCATACTGTGAAACATTCCAGAGCAATCACATATCCATAGAAACAAGCAGGTGACAGCCCCTCAACCAAAAAGTTACACAGTGTACCTTTAAAAGTACTTTGAAATACAAGTTTACTTTTGATAATGTTTAATTATGCAGTTGTTCCTGTAAAAACACTAAATACAAGATTTGACTGATTCGTAACCAACATTTTAAAAAGGTGAACTGTAGGGGTGTAATGATAAAGTCTCACAATATAGTCACAGTAGGACAGTATTTAATGAGCTATTTTGTGGAAGCTAACAAAACTGTTAATATGCTACTTTTTCCTCTTATTATGCCTTGACAAGATTTCATCCAAAGAACTAAGACTTAAAAGTGCTCAGACCTGTTAGCTATTGCTGCACCATAACTCTTAATTTAAGCAAAGAAACTTGTAATTCAATATATTGTAATAGTCCACGATATAATTGTGAGAAATTTGAAGACACAATATCATGATATTTTGATTATTGTTAGATCCCTAATGAATTGTATAACTTTTCTGGAGGAGAGTAAGTCAAATTCTTTCCTTCATGGAGACATTACTGCTTTGGCTCGAATGCTTCACAGTACAGTATTAAATCTTTCTATCTTTATGCAGACCAAACCAGACTAAGTAACAGGTTAGATGTGTGGAGAGGCACTGTTTTTGTTTTTGAGCCATAAAACCACCTGTAATTGAATGAATGTAAGGCTGTTTAATGTCACACAGCAATATCATATCCTGAAAAACGGACCCCCAATAATAAAAGTTATATGGTGCACTTTTAAGCATTGAATAAAAATTAAAAATAATTGCATAATCAAAATCACAATCACAATAACACAATAGCACAGCCCTATAATTAATATAAGATTAAGTGACCCTAGAGTACACCACACCCTGTCTAAAGCCTAAAGTAAAGTGTTCATCCCCAGCGCACGATCCAGCAGCACTCAGCTGTTTAAAGTTTAACACATTTACAGTGCATGTGTGTAACCGTGAGGACATCTGAAACACACACTTTAACACTGTCCCCACTTTAGTAAATCTAATCTTTAGTCTAATGAAGAGTAGATTTGGCAGGGGCGACAGGAGCGACAGGAGCAGGGAGTTGGCCGGAGCCTGATGGTTTTATCTGAGGGAGGAAATTGCTCAGACAGGATTAGATCTGCAGCAGCCCCTCAGGCCAGATTAACCAATAACAGCGCAGCGCCAAAGAGCCACCAAAGCTGCTGTTTATCTACGGACTCTGCTCCACGCACACACGCACACACCTTTCTTTACTCAGCATTTCACAAGTACAGTGCTACATCAGTCCTTTTTGATTGGTGAGAGTCCATTATAAGCATTTCATAAAAGCACAGCTACAGAATAAAAAAAAAAGTTTTTACTACACTAGCTCTTAAATAAATAAGGCTGGAAACGCAGGGTCCCCTCATGATTCTATATGATAATCAATATATGTCTTACGATACAATAATATCACTGTTTTTGAAGAACCAAATACTAGGAATGTAACAATAACTGAAAAATTGTGATATTGTATCGTCAAAAGTCTCACAATAATGCATGGTTTTATAGTAGCAATAGCTTATGAACATAGAGAACTACATATCTCATGATTCGTTTCAGTGCAGACAACATGAAGAAACATGTTTTTTACTTGAATTCTTTGGATTATGACGGTAATAATTCACAACAAAATCTTGTCAACGTATTTTAAAAGCAAAAAAAAAAAGTGCCCCATCTTTAATTATTAGCCTCTTCAAAATATCACCATAAATATAGTACTGTGAGATGCATATCATGATAATATTGTGCTATGAGATTTGGATATTGTTACATTCCTAGAATATGACAATAAACGTTGTACCAAATGATGTATGTACAATATCGTCATATCGTGAGCCTCCCATATCGTGAGCCTCCCAACCATATCGTGAGCTTTCCAACGATAACCCAATATCGTACCGTGAGATTCATACCATGACAATATAGAATATAGATATATTCGTGAGACTCGAATATCATAACACCCCTACCAAATACATATTAAAAACAATATTTATTTCTGAAGTATCTGTACTTAATGAAATCAACAAAACAGTGAATGTGTCAAATCTATTGCATACACAACAACTTTCAATCCTAAACAAGCAACAAGACTGTAGCACTGTCACACAAAATAATAGTTATAATAGTTATAATAATTATATAAAGACACCAGAAACACTCTTGCCCAGGCCTTACGTAAACATGAATTATATTGTGGAAAACGCTAATTCATGTTAATAGATCAATTCAAAATGAGACAAATTTGGATTCGCTTTGCTGTTTCAAACTGCAAATCTCCATTGTCCCATCAATGTCAGGACATTTGATTTCTGGTATTCGATGACTTGTTACTAGAGTAATTTCTGAATCTAGTTCTCTTGTATTGTTCCAGTTGTTATGGTTAATTTTGTGCTGTTACCATACTGGAATCTGTTTTCATTAACTAATACAATTATAAAATAGTTTACTCCATGGAGGAATTACCAAAAGTGGTTTCTTGTAACTTGGGCGTCATGTGGATTGTACACTCAGAACAGTGACTATTTGCTTTCACTGTGGAAATTTAAGATATTCAAGTTTTTGCAATATCCTACACCCCATTGTTACAGTTAAAAAGAAAACATAAGTATGGGCTATCACTCACACAAAGTCTTCATAAGAATCAGATTAAATTAAACACTAAAACCATTTGGAACTGACAATGTGTATATAGTACATGTCTATCTCGCCTTGACCCACATTGTCATTTCACCACTATTGAGGAAAGAACCGTTTTAGTATTCTATGGCATCTCTATTAAATTAATGCAGTCGATAATTCTTAACATAACTTTTGAATCACAATCTCCTCTACATATGTTCCTTATTGTTTGGCCTGGCTCCTGCCTCCAGCCTTTATTACAGGGCTATATTGGTTTTCTATTGAGCCTTGATGTTTTGGCCGACTCGCTTTAAATGTCTAATTTGCATAACATCTGCTGCTCATAAAACGTCCCACGCATAAGAAATGACTGACTAGGTTTATTTTAGAGTATGGGCTTAATACAGCTAGAACATCTTGAGAAGTTTAAAACAGTTCTTAAAACATGACTTTAGATTTGCAAAATCAGCATGATGTACTATGGTGTATGTAAATCAATGACTTTGGATAACATTTCCAAAAGATGGAAATCTAAGACACATTTCTTTAAAATTGCAGAAGAGTGCAATTTATGAATATATTTGACTAATGGAAGTAAGTAAGACTGGAAATAATGATATAAAAGCTTAAATGTCATATCCATTTATGTAAGGAAGGGCCACAACTATTCCAATTCAGTAGTGCTTTCTGCTTAAATGATAATAAGACAAGCTAAATTTAGACTATTTAATTATAAAGCTAGAAATTAAAATGTATAAACTATAACACATTTGGCTTTTTGAGTTAAATGGATTGAAAATATGTCTTAGTTCATAATTCTTGAAATAGCCCCATTACTCAAAACATACACTTGCGGTAATAATTAGGGATGTAACAATAACCGAAATATTGTGACGCTGTATCGTCAAAGTTCTCACAATAATATTGTGGGCCATCACAATATATCGAATTACAAGTCTCTTTGCTTAAATTAAAAGTTATGGTGCAGCAATAGCTAAAAAAGACAGAGGGAACTACATAGACCATGATCCTTTGCTACATTTGAGAGTAGACTACAAGAAAAAAATAACAGTTCTAAGCACTTTTAAGTCTTGTCAAGGCATTTCAAGAAGAAAAAGTAGCATATAAACAGTTTTGTACCATGAGGTTCATACTGTGACAATATCGTATTGTGAGACTTGGATATCATTACACCCCTAGTAACAATGTAAAATTATATATACATGTATAATACAGTAATTATATGTACATATGGAAATTTACATTTTACTCCAGAATAAAATGGCTCATTACTGCATATGAGTGTCTTAAACAGCACCATATAAAATGTAATTAACAATTCAAACTATGCAAGGAAATTCAAGCCACTGCTAGTTCATTCTGTTCAGTTCATTCTTTGCATTTAAAAACACCTGTACTGACCTGTGATGACTCCGGTCTGGAAGGGGCTGCTGACGGCCACAGATGTGAAAGAGGTGGACGCTCCTCCAAAGGGGGCCATGGCGGAGGAGGCCCCCCCGAACGGCGTGAGCGAGGCCCCGGCGTTGTAGCTGTTGTTGAGGGACTTCATGGCTGGAGAGTGCCCCATGAGGGTGGGGTCCGGCCCGTAGTGCCCCAGGTGGGAGCTGATCGGAGTGGCATTGGTGTTGGCGGGCTGGTACTTCAACGCTGCGTTTTTATCCTCTTTACTCCGCACACAACCCATCTTCAAGCCTGTGAAAAGACATCCAATAGTCTTACCGAGAGGCATCTTAACGCTAACTGCTGTCAACGGTTTCCTTCTCAAAAGTGACACGATGTGTGACTAAAAGGCTGTCTGACTGTGTTCATAATCGTGTGATTCAACAACTTAATTAAGTTCTCAAACCGAAAACAAAACAAGGTGTTGGGCATATTTTTGACATTAGTATAATGGGTGGTGCATCAACAGTTTATTTAGGTCAAATTCATTTCTGCTTTACTCCACTGCTAGAAATAATCACTAGACCAATCCTTAGCTGCAGGCCTCATGTGAGTGTACGTCAGCTGAATAACAACCTTATAAAAAACAAAACAACAAAAACACGTGATCATAACTAACCCAACAACACAATATGGTGAATAACGAAAAAAGGACCTGTTGATCGATTTGTCAACTAAAAGGGGTAATGGCTATTAAATATCACTAAGATCTGACTATGTATCTGACTCAAACTGCACTCACAAGATGACTACAACCACCCTATTTATACAGAAAAACACAAAGAAACAGTGTATTTATATGTAAAAGTCAGGATAAACTCATCTGTCACTCCCAAATCTTCAACTAAAATAGCTGTTCCATGTAGACAGTTATCTAAAGAAAAGAATTAAACAACTAATATAAAACTTGTTCGCCTAAAACACCACTGTCCAATTAATAGACCAAACGACTAAAGGACTACAGCCACAGACACTACCAGTACCTTTCACCAAGTTTTCTTATAGTTCAGATGAGGTTCAAAAGGCAGAACAGTAAATGCAATACATTTTGGATATAGTTATTCTGGTAGAATGATGGCAACAGGCAAACAGTGTCTAATTTTGCTTGACCGACTATCCAACCAAATCAAAGGAACACATTATTTACCCTGTACTGTGTTGAAAGAGGTAGGAGTGACTGTGCTTGGACAGGCCTGGGGCGATTCTTGGGTGGTTCCCGGGATCCTGTGAATGACCTCAGATGACTTCACAGTTTCACCACAAAAGCTTCGTAACTCACCAAAAGTCCAGGCCCGATCGGATTACAGCCTCAGGCCACTACACCTCTTTCTCTGATCTACTACACAGACTTGAAAGTAGGGCTGGGCAATTTGGGAAAAAAATATCTAATTGAGAGCACGTTGAGTGTAATTACAATTGTGATTTTTGTTTTATAAAGGGCTCATATTGCACCATTTTCATATCTGTTAAAATGCCGTTTCCTCATCAAAAACATACCTGAAGCTGTGTTTAGTTTCATGTTTAACACAGAAATCCTGCATGTTTAGACCTCACACGGAAAACACTGTTGCACCTTGTGATTCTTCACAGTTCATCACAATAGACATTTGGATCACAGCCCTGGAACTGCCCATTTCTACTGAACTAAAAAGGTAAAAGGTAGCAGTTAACTTAAAAACTATCACTTCATGACATCACAAGGTGGCACAGATTATTTTGAGCTATGGAGATGTAAACAGACCAATAATAAAGGGTAACTCAAACAGGTGAATGAAACAAAAACACAACTCCAGGTATGTTTTTGAGGAAGGAGCAACTTAATAACATGGGTTAAAGCTCACATTTTACGTAATATAGGACCGTTAATAACAGGATCCTGTTTGAAAGCCTCTTCAAACATAGCAACAGTTTCAGTTTTTTCTGCACAAAAAGTGGCTTAATACTTCAGGAAAACAAAAGCATAAATACTGGTCTCTTGTTGCTTACTGACTAATATTTCTATTACCTTTGGCCTCTGAGTCATGGGCCTCTTTGTAAAAACTCAATAAAACGACGTGTGAATGAGTCACGTCCTGGAATTCGTAAAATGTTACACAGTTTAAAATGCACAGTCACACAACAGTGTTTTGGAAAGGAGTGCTGCTACTGCCACTCAAAAAGACAGAGGACAAGAAACAACACGAGTTAAGCTAAAAGGGTTGTAATTCAAAGTGTGGTGAAAACAAGACAGCAAAATGCACTGCTGGATGGGGAAGTTTGGAAACACAATATGGGAAATGGAGTCCAGTCGAACAGTTAAAGTGCCTATGACAAGTTGGATAACTCATTTTACTAAATCACAGTAGTTAAAATCATTATATTTAAGATTTGACTTTTCTTTTCCTAATAGGCTCTATTCATGCTTACGTCACAAACCAGGAAGACGTTTGGAAACATGTGATGACAACTTCCAGTGGGCCATGTTCACGGTAGTAATTCTGACAAAATCTAAGAAAAATTAGGAAAAGGCCCAGTTTTCTTCATCTACATGTCATTGTAGCATTCTGTTATGTTCAGCTAATCAACAATTACAACCATACCTCAGTTTTCATCATTTCCCCATTGACACACGACTCTGGGTACATGAAGAGATGAGGGGCCAAATTCAAGATTATTCCAAACAGCACAAACGTATGCAGTTTTCATTTTACCACTGATCACGTTTACTTCAACAGGTTTTATCACAGTCGGTCGACGAGCCCAGTGTCGATAACTACACTAGAAAGTGTCATCGCATGTTTCCATGTTTCTTCCTGGTTTGTGACGCAAGTGTGAATAGAGCCTATAGGATGAATAAAAATATAGGAAAACACCTGTATTTTGTTGAAATTAAGTTGTGTTTCTTATGTGTAAATAGTGTCTAATTTTTGGACAGAATTCTCCCTCGTCTGATCTCATCAGTATGGAAATTCTCTAAAACTCTGCTTACTATAATTTAATTTAATTTATTATATTTTTCAAAATTTGTTGTTCTTCTTAATTTGTGTAGAACTATATTTATAACAGCTATTATTTCAAGTCAAAATTTGAGAATCATCAAATCCAAAGTCATAGTCAATCTAAAACTATCGTGGGAAGGTTAGAAATGTATTTTATATTGCTTTAATTACTCCGAAAATGTACAACCATGAAGCCTAAAATGTCATATTGCTAAAAATTAGTCCAGTTAGTGTGAAACTGATTTACTGATTTTCTCACAAATCTGAACTGTAATTGCCTCCTGGTGACGTCTGCTCTATTTAAAATCACAAAAACATAAATGCACAGATCAGCAGCCATTTCAACCATAGTCATAATTATTGAGAAAAAAAAGAGGATACATTATTTATTTTACATTTCCAAACTTTATATCTTTCAGTAACCATCCAAAATTAGAATGCCCAATTAGACATGGCCATTATTAATTCATTACATCCTCATTAGACCAGGGTAGGATGGTATATGGAGCCTTCTTGTTCAGTGGACAATGACCCAGTGGCCCAAATGCTGTATTATGCAGAGAATCATTATATTGATTTCATGACAGTTGCATGTAGTTTGGTTTTGTATATTTCCATCAGACATCCACTCATCATTAGTTAGTTTAGACATTATCCGTACGTTCTTGCTTATTACAATATTTAATTTTTTTTTTAAAAAGTAAATCACATCCACATTTATTTGGTAATCTCAAAGGTTTGCAATTCAAATGACAATTGGCAGCACCAGTAATGCACTGAAGTTCAGATTGAGTAGTATAAACCCACTACCTTGCTTGTATGTTTGTATGGCCTTGCCTTGAAAGCAGCCTCTAACCAATGCTACCGAGGTGCACCTGTCAATGTATGGATCTGTGCCTTTGAGATAGATGGCTCATTGATTTGACCTGGTGAACAAATACAGACCAAAAAGCTTTGCCCGGGCAGAGAAGTCGAGTGGGGGTGAGTAACGGAGAGAAAGAGGAAAAAAAGAGGGAAAAATAAGACAGATGTTCAGGATTGTCCTCTACAAGGCATTGCCCTACAAGGCTTGAGCTCTACAGTATCTCCTATTGGTAGAGATGTAGGTTTTGTGCTGACTTTTTGTAAGAAATGTGTGAATGATTGTATATTAAAAGGTTCCACCATATAATTGTTGTGGACTTCATGTAGTAGAGTACTTACAATACTGAAATGAATCTATTCATATCATATTTATGTAAAATGTATATTAATTTAATGTTTTCTTAAGTTTTTTTCCAGCATTCTCACTGTGAGCTCAGCCCCCTCTCCACAGATCTGACCTACCACTTGGCCTGATAGGGTCACCTGCTTGTCCACATAAAGACAGAAGAGTTTGTGTGGCATAGTGAGGAACATATCTTCATTGAGACAAGCAAGTGGCAGACCCTCCTCTGGAAACGTTAATGCACATTTAATTAGAGATGTAATAATAACAGAAATATCGTAATACCGTATCGTCAGAGTTCTCACAATAATACCGTGGACCATCACAATATCGAACTACAAGTCTCTTTGCTTAATTTAAGAGTTATTTTGCAGCAATAGCTAAAAACAGAGGGAGCTACATAGACCGTGATCCTTTGCTCCATTTCAAAGCAGACAATATAAAGAAACTATTTTAAGCACTTAGACCTTAGTTCTTTGGGTTAAGTCTTGTCAAGGCATTTTAAGAGGAAAACGTAGCATATTCCCAGTTTTGCTAGCCTCCACAATATATCTCAATAAATATTGTATTGTGAGATACACATCGTGAAAATATCATCCCGAGAGATTTGGATCATTACGTCCGTACTTTTAATACCTCTTTAGTCACAAGTAGCCTATGCAAAGCTGTGTAAAGTATTTTTCGGACTATAAGTTGCACTTTTTTTCATGGTTTGGGTGGTCCTGCAACTTATACTTATACTACTTATACATTAAACATTTTTACACTGACAGCCACGAGAGACTCTAGGCTTGTGTGTCAGTATCTGCTACTCCTGTTACTCCTGTACCACTGTCACTTCACTCTACTGCGCATGTCTCGTGCAGAAAGAGCCACTGTCCTGTCTGGCATCATGTTAAGTCGATCGCACCATTACTTCTGTACCACTGACAATTTTACATTTAAACAAACATAAAAACAACCGAAACCATCCTGTCGGGATTCAGAAAGGCTGGAATAATTCTAACTGGAACTGATGCTGAGTCTGACAACAGCTACGCAGAAGAGGAAGCGGTGCTCTGTTTACC